GCTGCTACACCTCCCGATGTTGATCCGGACGTTGTCTTCCCCGATGTAGACCCCTGTGATCTTGACGCCGACACAGGGACTACAGGCGTCTTAGCTTCAGATCCTCCGGAACGAGATTCGGTTCTTGCAGTGGCTGCAGCCGTCGCCGCAGCAGTTGTACTAACACTCCCAGATTGTGATATATTCCTTGATCGAGCACTAGTATGACTGGCGCTTGGTGTTATACGTGGAGCTGAGAAAGAAGGAAAGGGTTCAAGAAAATACTGAAAGGAATAGAAAAAGGTAAACGCACCTGGCCCAGTAGTAGTAGTAGTGGTAGCAGTCGAAGCACCTGTAGCAGTCCTCGAAACAGAAACAGTGACAGTCGCCTTGTTTGTGCTCGCGTCTTCGTCTCCTGTAGCTGTAGCAGTCCTAGACCTAGTCCCAGTTCTCCGACTGGCAGATCTAGTATCTTTCTCAGCTCTATTAGTATTCCCATCAGACCTCTCTTTTTCTTTCTCCTTTTCTTTATCTTTATCTTTTTCCTTATCCGAAACCAATCTCGTCCCAAACTTCGCGTTGGCGCTGCTTTCTCGGGAGTACGAGCTTGGGTTTATAACGTGATTTCCTCCTTGTACTCCGTGTACTCCATGTGCTGCGTGATGGTGTCCCCCAGAATGATGTCCATTATGATTGATGCCGCCTAAACCACCATATCCTCCTCCTCTCCTAGAAGGAACGACAACCCTTCCTTGTGGAGCTCCACCACCAGCACCGTAGAACCCTTGTGAAGGTCTATACGATGGCGTCGAAGTCGCAGTGGAGGTGGAAGTGGAAGTGGAGGTCGAGGTGGAAGTGGAAGTAGTCGTAGACGTCGAAGCACCTGGCCCGCGCGAAGTCCCCTGCCCAATCATCCTTACTCTACCAGAACCCGTCCTCCCTCTAACAACCACCTTTACTCCTCTCCCGCCGCTCACAAGGCCAGAAGAAGAATTAGCAGCAGCAAGACCAAGGCCTATAGGCCTTTGCACTGTAACTTTATCTGCGCCCCAGTAAGAGAAACTCATCTTGCTTTTGCGATCAGAGTCATCAGAGTCATTTGAAGAGGAATCGTCGTTTGAGGCGTGAGTTAAACCTGGACGGGAGCCATCGTTGTCGTCGTTGTCTGGAGGCATAGGAATTATCCGAGGTTGGTTCGAGAGTTGTTGTTGTTGTTGTGATTGAACGCGGGTACGGGATATGCTATACGAAAAAATGAAAAAGTCAGGAAAAAATAAACAGAAAATCATTGAAAAAACCAACTCGGCCATAGCAACTACACCTTGATTAGGTTGAACGACATCGCCTATGACCCATGTTTCGACCTTTCCAAAACAGAATCAAAATAACAAAGAATTAGTAGAACCGCAAGAACACAAAACACACACAGACCTTTAAAAATTTGTATAGATTCCTCGGTTTAACTCTCAACTGTTTTCTTCCGGGGCCTAATACCTCTTTCCCTCCCTTTCCCCCAAGATCCTTCCCTCCTCCATTCCCTTCCATCCCCATTCCCCCTCTCCAAATCGGCATCGTCGTAACCCCCGTCCGCTGACAAAGTAGAACCACATCGTTAAAAACAACCAACCATAGATCTTTTTTGCTAAACGGTTTCTTGTTACCCAGATGAGATGAAGATGTTGTTGTTGTTGTTGTTGTTGGTGTTAGAGCATCGGATAACCGCCTGAAAGAGGATTTTGATTTTTTTGGCTGAATCGGGTTGACTGGGGGTGTTGTTGTCGTCGATGTTGTTGATGTTGCCGGAATGGTATAAACCTTTTCATCAATCAACACTCTTCCCATCTTCGGTCTCCCTACCCAACCTTTATCCTTCACCTTCCCTTTCCCATTCGTCGACCGATTATTACTAGTATTACTATTATTATTCCCATCTCCCCATTCAATCCTCCCCAAAACATCCCTCGTCTTCTCTCTATCTTCCCATTCCACTTTTTCATCCTCAATCCCCCTAACCATAACCTCAATCTCCGCAACAAGCTGCAGTGTGCTCTCATACTCCGTCGTACTGGGATCTGTATGATACAAGAGATTCTGAAATAACAGAGGGTATTTCAGAAGACGCTGAAATGGTTTCGAGAGTGATATGGAGAGAGATGTTTGTCCAGAATAAGAAGAGAGCGTGTCGAGTGTTCGTAGGAGGTGTGGAATTTGGGAAAGTGCGCGAGATGTTTCTGATGAATTGCTTGATGTACGAGAGGTAGATGAGAATGTAGGAGAGGAGAATATCGTTTTCGTTATAGATGCTGTAGATGATTTTGGAGGGGAAATATCGTTGATAGCATTATCTACTTGTTCCAAGGCACGTTCTAGGTGAAGAACGTATGTTGCGTATCCTTGAAATATATCCGACTGTATAAACAAAACATCAGTATCAGTCGAATTCTAGAAGGAGAAAGGACGAAAAACGAACATTCGCGACAAAAACATCCGCCAAACTACGAACCAGAGGATATTGATCATCATATCTCTTCCTCAACGCCTCTGATAACCTCTTATGTCCTTCAAACACTCCAGAATCAATCACCTCCAAGCAAATACGTAGATCCGGAGGAAGCAGATGTGGTGGTACCAGTGGAAGAGAGTCGAGAGGATAATTATCATCCAAACCCACTTCTTTCACGGTATTCGTAGTTCCTACTTTCTTAAACATCCCTCTCGCCAAAGTCCCATTATTCGCATTCGTCGTTTGAGAATGAGCTCTTTCTCTTTCCACAACAACAGATTGCCGTCCCAAAGATTGTGTGGACACCGCGTTTGGGTTGGTACGTGGGATAGGAGGAAGTGATTGATGAGATCTAGCTCCTGAAGGGAATGGAATTATCGTTGATGGTTTTTTTTTGGAATTGTTGTTTTTGCTATAAGGTGATCTTGGATGATTCTGCATTTGAATCTGTTGTTCTTTCCATGTATCTTTCGCGTCTTCGTCGTCTTCTGAATCTGATTCTCTGTTGCTGTTGTTGTTGTTGTTATTGTTGCTGTGGCTGGATGGAGTAGGTGACATGAACCTCGCGGCGATCGGCGGCAAAGATTCCAACGACATCCCTCTTGCGCTCTGCGTCTGCGCCTGTAATACAGACTCAGGTGGCTCCACAACCCCCTTTGGACTATACGGATGCAGCAACGGCTCAACAAACATCTCCTTCATCTTCGCCAACTCCCCAACATATCTCTCCTCGCTAGAAATAATCTCAAACAAAACCTCCTGCCTCGTTCTCTCCCTCGAACCCAAATTCAAAACTAAATCTTCTTCAGTTACTTCGCTCCACGAAGCAGCGGATAATATCCTGCTCCCACTAGCACTAGTGGTAGTTCCACTTAGTCCAGTCGTGGAAGAAAATTGAGAAATGCCGGAGACACCGCTCATTTGAGAATATGGTGTTCCTGAACGAAGACTTTGCTGACTTTGATTGTGGGGCGCAGGGGAAGAGGAGGAATTCCCAGACGCAGCTGTAGAAGGCCTCCCAATCTCCCCTTGCATAGCTTGAAATCGCGTAACATTCGTTTTCAACGGCAGCGCATTACCATTGCCATTCTCTTCAACAGTATCCAAAACCCCAATAGGACTCTGTACACGCGGCGGTGATAAAAATGCTACTTTTTTTTGAACGTCGCTGTTCAGTGATCCTGTTGTGTGTTTGCGGCTTGGAGTATGAGGAGTATATGTCTGTGATTGGCCTATTGGAGGTTCAGAAGGTGTAGGCGTAGCAGAAGGTGTAGGTGTAGGTGTCGAAGAGGAACGTGTAGAAGGCGTGGAATTAGACGTTCGTGAAGGCGGAGTTGTTTGTCGAGGTGTTCCATTTCCTCTCCTATCCCTATAAACACCCTCAGTATCTAATTCTGCTTCTGCTTCTGCTTCTGTATCTCCTGAATCTCCTGTATCCTCCGAATCTACCTCTGGCAACGGCTTAAATACGGCATATTGTGAGCTCTGAGATTGTGTTCTTTCTGCTCTTTGCGCACGTTCTGTGTGTGCTGCTCTTTGAACTGTCTGCGTCTGCGTTTGTGGTTGTATAGGCGGCGGCGTCTGCATCTGCGTCTGCGAAATTGCCCGCGTCTGCGTCTGTGAAGGTGCCTCAGGCGGCCACGCCCTCAGTGGTGGTAATTTCCCTATTTCCTTCTCCCTCAAATCCTTTCCGTTGTTGGAATCTTTCACCGTCCCTCCTCCTCCAGACCCAGATCCAAGATGAAGTCGAGAGAAAAAGGCTTTCATTCTCCTTCTTCCGCTGCTGTTACTTGAGCTCTCGAGTTCAACTGTCCTATCTTTCGTCTTTTATGCAAAAAACGCGCGTTTGACTAGGTCTTGAGCCTGAACCTACGAGGCCCACAAGATGTAACAGTTGTGACGGTTGTGACGGTTGCCAGTGGGTGATAACTGGGATTTCAGGATATCAAGATATTGTGATAGCCAGGATGGAAATCTGAAGAAAGTTTGAATCGAATAATCGAATGGTACCTAATGATAAACAATTGCAAGAGAGAGAGTATTTTAGCCAGCGCAACAACCAACTTGAAGTCACGAACAGAACAATTTGCCAAAGTTCACGAACACAAGGCCAATGATAACAAGAAAGATCACAAAGATATAACTTACAAGGGATAATTACTGTTTAGTTTGCGTAAAAAGGCAACCCAAAGTGTTTAATTTTTCCCCGCCGCCACTTAGCCGTGTGTAAACAAGCCAACTCGTGGCAACAACGTTAACTCTATTCTCGCAGCGCAGCAGTGTATAGGCCGGCCGAGTGCATCCTCGCTTCTGGGCGGAAAACAACGTTACTTTGTACTTTGTCTAACTCTCTATCGTTAGTCTACTATTTAGTATAATACAATCATTAAAAAAACAGAAAAACAAAAGCAGAAAAACCTCCGAAATGAAATGGTCTATCCTACCAACCACAGTTTAACGTTCACAATCCATCATCTATCCATTGACGAAACCTCATAATTAGTAAAGTTTGCGCAAAGGGGGTATAGCTCAGCTGGGAGAGCAGCAGACTGAAGTCTCGAGGTTCATCAGTGAATATTTCTTCTGAAGGTCCCGCATTCGATCCGCGGTACCCCCAATTTATGTATCATTATCCCTTTTTGAACTCTTCATTAACCGCAAGCAAGTACCAAAGAAATATGCATGACAAGTACATACACACTAGATAGCGCGCACGTACTTATTCACTTACTCGTAGTCTGGTTCATCAGGATTACATGTAGCCCTACTCCTTTTCAGGACACAGATGTATATCATCTTGAAAACTAGGTACTAGAGTAGTGACAACAAGATATGTCCAAGTTGCCCGACTCCGTTCTTTGTTTTGGGCCATGTTCCAGGTCTGCACAGGATGATGGTGTGTAGCTACGGATCGTTCGGTTGTGTAATGTATACTGTATGTAGTATTGTTTAGTCCAGGTTCAGCCCCTGTTCTGAGCTATTACTCTATCGTTATCACACCGACTTACTGCTACGACGCATGTTTTTCTATCTACGCAAGCTTGTCTTCAGTCAGCCCACCTAGGGACAGACTGTGTTAAAATCCTAATGGCCCCTCCTCAACCAGGTCAATGATGAGTCCTTCTGGGCCTCTGCGCCGTCGTCCTTCAAATAGCATCTAGAATACATTAATGCACACTTCAAGTGATACGCTGGAGGCATTAAAAAGATACTTGAGTAAGTAATCTCTAAACTCTATGCATGAAGTCTATTAATGAGCCAGAACGACGCAAGTGCCAATGTTCCCGCGCCAGCATAAATTGCTAGTCGAACTTCTATCGGATTATCGGTCAAGAATGGGTACGGAACTAGAAAAAGAAGACACTGGTTAGTCAAGAACCGAGATACGAGTGATATATAGTAAACGGATAACTTACACCTTCCGCCATTAAATCCCGCACATCTCTCAACCCACCACGAATAAAACATCGTATAAAACACCGAAACGCTCGTGGCACCATATCTCAACTCATTCCTACTATACTTCCTTTCAAACAGCACGAAATCCGCTAAAAGAGTTATAGCAGGAACAGCGTGTAAGCATAAATCTAATTGGAGGGGAATTCGAAGGAGCTGGGAGGAGGTTGAGGAGGATGAAGGCTCTCTTCCGGTGGTTTCATCATCCTGTAAGATTAATTGGGAAGCGAGAAAGAGAAGAGGCCAGTAAATTGATGAGATGACGATGGAGAGCTAGTACAAGATTATGAATGATATAGGGATATGCGAGGAAACGTACAGGCATTGAGACGATGAGCATGATACGTTTGAGAAGATTCAGGACTGATAAAGGGAGTTTAGACCTTTAGTTCTCCTGAGTAGGGGGTTGAATGCAGGCTCACCACTCAACGAAGGGAGCAAGTCTATGATCAAACTAAGTAAAGATGTAGCACAAGCAATGAAAAGACTAAGAAAAAGGAGGTTGGGTGTCGGTAGAGAGAATGAAAGTGATGGATACGAACCCTTGAATAGTCAAATATTGAAGATGACCACCGTATTGAGTGCTGATGAAAGCGTCTATAGGGAGTTTGGTGAGGCTTTGGTAGCCATAGATCATTAACGTTGTAGCCGCAGAGTGGAGGAGTAAACGACTGAGAGAGAAAGCCATAGTTGATAGACTGAAGTCAAGGTCGTGTGCGGTGTGCTCGGCTGCGCCACGTAAATAAATATTAGAGTTTGGCGTTATGACGATTATTTCAACGGCCCGTAGACCGCCGAGTTTAATTTTTTTTTGTGACTCACGCGAAATTCACTTTTGCTTGAATCCTGATTCTTATTCCTCAAACTTTCCTTCAAAAGAAAACAAAATGTCCAACGAACCGACAAAACAAAAATTATGGGGCGGTAGGTTTACAGGGAAGACGGATCCCTTGTGCGTTTTTTTTTTTGTTTTTAAAAAAATCTGTGATCAAACTCGGAATTAACGAATACTTATGTCTCTTTAATATTATACTCTTCGATCAACGCTATAATGATGATCATAATGCAGAATGCACACTTTCAATCAGTCTTTGGCTTATGACCAGCGAATGCACGCTGCTGATATCAAAGGTTCCATCGCCTACACAAAAGGACTGAAACGCGTCGGTATACTTACCGAGGACGAGGAAACCAAGATCATCGCAGGATTACAGGCTGTCGGAAAGGAATGGGGAGATGGGACGGTCAGATCTTTCATTTATCTATTTTCAATCTTTCAAGCTTGATGGACTGAACACGGCCGTTAGTTCATACCTGCACCTGCCGATGAAGACATTCACACCGCGAATGAACGTCGTCTAAGTGAGCTTATCGGCCCTCTCGGTGGAAAACTGCACACTGGACGATCTCGGAATGACCAGGTTGCAACTGATATGCGGTTATGGCTCCTTGAAGAGATCCAGGAAGTCGAAAATGGATTGAGAGGGCTCATTCGGGTTATGGTAGAACGAGCGGACAAGGAAAAGGGTTATTTGATGCCTGGTTATACACATCTACAGGTAAGTAAAGGATGTATATTCGTTTCGCAATTAATCGCCGTCTCTTATGTCTTTTTATTTGTTCTCTTATACAACAGCGAGGACAACCCATCCGATGGTCCCATCTCCTTCTATCTCATGCCTTCTCATTCCGAAGCGATCTCGAACGTTTACAACAGCTTATACCTCGGATTTCCGTGTTACCATTAGGCAGTGGTGCTCTCGCAGGGAATCCGTTCGTCGTAGACCGTGAATTCCTAGCAAAAGAACTTGGATTCCAATCTGTAGCGGAAAATAGTTTGTGGGGTGTTGGAGATCGCGATTTTATCGTCGAGTTTCTTATGTGGTCTAGTTTGGCTATGACACATATCAGTCGTATGGCGGAGGATTTGATTATTTATTCGACTGCAGAGTTTGGATTCGTTACGCTGAGCGATGCGTATAGGTATAGTCATCTCGATCTATTCTTTGCAAGTATGTGTGTCGCTGACGTGGAAAATTTAGTACTGGATCGAGTATGATGCCGCAGAAAAAGAATCCAGACTCATTGGAATTGCTGCGAGGAAAATCTGGTCGCGTCTTTGGGAACGTACGAATATTCTTTCCACTCTTTCAACGTTTGTCTCCCCGTCTAACGTACTAACAGATGGCTGGTTTCGTCATGACCCTTAAAGGTTTACCATCAACATACAATAAAGACTTGCAGGAAGATAAGGAGCCCTTGTTCGATGCCTTGGTCAATGTTTCAATGTCCTTCAAGATCGCAGAAGGTGTCATCGCCACTCTGGATGTAAGCCTGATTCGCAACGAATTACGATTGTCGGGATTTACTCGTCTCTGGACAGGTTCACCCCGAAAAGATGCGTCAAGCTCTCACCATGGACGTTCTCGCAACAGATCTCGCAGATTATCTAGTTCGCAAAGGGGTCAGTGATCACTCGAATAACACATAGCCCCCGTTCTAACGATCAAATGAAAACAAATCATAGATCCCCTTCCGAGAAACCCACCACATATCAGGTCGTGCAGTTGCTCTTGCTGAATCCCGGAAATGCCAGTTGAATGAACTTTCCTTGTCCGACTTCAAGAATCTCAATGACAAGTTCACTGAGGATGTTCATGAGGTGTTTGATTTTGAAGCTTCGGTGGAACGACGACAGGCTACAGGTGGACCGAGTCGGAAAATGGTTGATAGACAAATTGCTGTTCTTCGGGAGGTATTGAGTAATTGATACTCCGTAGCACTATATGTAGTACGCAGAGTGTTAAAGATTGTATGGAGGCCGCCAGAAATTCGTTTCATCGCATTTTTTTTGTTAGCCGGTTTATTTTGATGAACCCTCTGCCGCATCCGCCGGCCCTTGTTTGTTTTGCACTGCACTGCCATCACACGGACTGACACCGCCATTACCTCCAGAAAGAACTTGTTTAACTCTCACCAGTTCAACACCTTCGTATTCTTTTTTCAAATCTCAGTGACTTTCTTACTGTTTTCACCAATTTGCTCTAAACGTTTGACTTTTAACTCTTCTTAAAACATGGCAAGAGACCGCTTAGCAGCGCTGAGGGTGAGTTTTTTGGTTCTGTTGAATCGCCTCTTTTCTATGTCTTATCTTTTTCCCTCTCTAGGCTCAACAACAAGGGGGTGCCAGTCAAATGAGTTCGTAAGTACTTGAACTGTACATCTTTCAAAAAACTCGTCACCTTATCGCTTCTTCGTTTTCAGCAACTCCTATCCGACGCAGGCGTCTGAAGGAGGAGGAGGTTACCAATCAAGACGAGCGAATCCATATGCGCAGCAAGATGGAGCATATGAAATGGCAGATGTCAAAGACTCCTCCACGAACCTTCCAGGTGGTGGTGCCGATGACATGTCATCGTTCTACGCAGAGGTCGCTTTCAATTCTTCTCCTCCCAGTCTCTCTATTAAGCTCAAGACAATTCTTTAGATTTCTTCTCTACAAGACAGCATACGAACCTTCAATGATAATGTGACCCGAATTGGAGAACTGCATTCACGTTCACTCAACAACACCGACGATGCCGCAGCACAGAGAAACGCTGCTCAACTAGACGAACTTGTTGCCGACACCTCCGCACTGAGCGCAACTCTTAAACGCAGGATCAAAGCTTTAGAGAGACAGGCAGGCTCAGGGAGAGATGGTCAGATTCGCAAACAACAGGTACGAGTATTTTTAAAAGCGCTATTCTGCTTTTAGTCGTGTGTACTGACCGCGCTACTTAGACTGCCCTCGTAAAGTCCAAATTTGTTGAAGCTATTCAGAACTATCAAAATGTTGAGCAACAATACCGAACTCGTTACAAGCAGCGCATGGAGAGACAGTTTAAGATTGGTGGGAGCAAATGTTTTTTACTCTAGTCCATCTTTGACTCAAGATTTTAGTCAAACCCGATGCGTCGCCGGAGGAGGTCAAAGCAGTTGTTAATGATGACAGTGGTGGTCAGATATTCAGTCAAGCTGCACGTTGTGTTCATGTTCATCACCTTTCGCACGACGTCTGACGAAACTATCCAGTTACTGAATTCCAACCGATACGGCGAGTCACGAGCCGCATATCGTGAAGTCCAGGAGCGACACGAAGACATCAAGCGTATCGAACAA